CCTCTGACCACCACCAGTAGGCAACGGGTGACAACAAGGACACAACGACTGAGACTGTCCAAGCCGGGTTTGATCAGATTTAGCTACTGGACCACAGATTTTGACTAGCAGGCGCTTGGAGCCTGCTGAACACACTTTTCTCTGATCCATCACAAAGCCTTAGGCCCATTTGCAAGCACCCGTCTTCTTTCTAAAGCACAATTCTCTGAAAATAATAAAAACAGTACATCTGAAAGTATCCTATTAAAAAAATCCCCCCTCCAAAACGTTACATAAATAAAGCGTGCTATGCTTTTTACCTCTACAGTATATTCTAGTGTCTATGCTCAACATTTCAGATGGGAGCGACACCATTTGGCGGTCTTGGAGCTCCTAGCATTGAGCAGATGGCTGCTATGGGAATGCCCGGACCGAACATGAACCCCCAGGTGAGGATCAGTTACCTTCAAAGCGCCGTTTAAGTTCAAGCAAAAAGTCCTTAGTTCTTAAAATCATAGTAATATCTTTGTCTTCCTTTCTTTCCAGGCTCTTTCCGCAGATTTCCTGAAGCTCATGCAATCCATGGACCCCAAGTAAGAAAAGTGCAGACACAGACGGGTTGTGCAGTCCAGTCAGCATACATATTTATTTGAGCAGTGTCTAAATAATTGATGCCATTTGCAGATTGAACCTTGCAGCTGGATTGAACTTGAGTCCAGGGCTGAAGGCTGACGCATCGAATAAGGAGATTGAAGAGGCCATGAAGAGAGTCCGAGAGGCCCAGTCTCTTATTTCTGCAGCTATTGAACCAGGAAGTGAGCGCGGTTTCAAAGAATGCTTTAAATAACTGTACCAGAAATGCTTGCTTCATATAGATTACGTGTTATCGGAAATTACTTCTCAGTTTACCTGTTTATTGATGTTTAGAGAGCAGTAAGTAAATGTTTAACACATGTATAATTTTGTTTTTACTGTTGCAGGTAAGAAAGATGACAAGCGCAAACATTCCCGCTCTCGTTCGCGTTCACGGCGCAGACGAACCAGATCTCGTTCAAGACACAGGTAAAGATGCGTCTATGGCAATGTCGGGGGAAGCCTTTTTAGTTTCATAATTAGTATATTTTTGAATATTAATTGTTTGTGAATGTGCTGCTGCTTCTTTTGAGCAGACGTTCGAAGAGCAGATCTCGGCGTAGGTCTCATTCAAGGAGCAGGAGGAGGTCCAAGAGCCCACGGAGGAGGAGGTCCTACTCCCGGGATCGAGGCCGTCGCAGTAGATCTAGGTCAGCTGTTATCCTGAGGAGCAAAATGGCTCCTGTGTTTCATTTCATTCAAAGTGTGCTTGGAGACCAGAGGTTGATCATTTCAAAATT